AATCCGACAACGAACCAAACTTGAGAAACAATTTCAAGAGAAAAGGCAACCAAAGTCCCAAATCTACGAATGGAACATTTCAAGACAGTGTTACAGCACAAGAGCAACTATTTCCAAGAGAGTTTAGTGGCCTGGCGACCCATCCCTACCAGATTCCCTAGAGTAATTGACATGGTAAGGACTTCTGCTTCGAACCCTAGCAGGAGAATGATGATCCGCACCTGGACTTCGGCTAAGGCTTCTCCTGCCATATGGTGAACGTTCCCTAACTGGAGTTCGACTGCGGCTCCTCAAACCATTATAAGATGGAGAAGGTCCCTCCAATGGGGACTGCGAGAATGACCTCTCTCTAACGTACCTTTTCTCGTGTGGGGAAATAGTCCTGCCAATGTTTATCAGGAAGATAACAAATAGGATCAAATTTCCAGAAAAACAGACGTTTACACAGGTCAAGCTTTTCATACACTACAAATATTCATGGACATTATTTTATCATTTACATGGATTGAGAAATAAAGCACATAGAAACAAAAACACTATATCACACCTTGAGTATCTTCCCTTTGGTGGCGGAGAGTAGTAATCTCGGCTACGGGATCGAGACCTGCCATAGCGTGGAGGGGGGGATCGAGAATAACGTGGAGGAGACCGTCTACGATCGTATGCACGACCTCTGCAGCGAACGCAAGAAACATCAGCATGCAATGGCATCAATGGCATTGCTACCCAATTTTAGAAATACTTACCAACAAGCAGCTTTATAATAAACATCACCTCTGTTATATGCATAAATTTGCTCGAATCCAAAACCACAATTAAAAAAAAAATCCTAAAATAAGCCAGTCCAGAGCAATTAAACTACATCCATTTATACAAGTAAAATCTACCTTCCTCCACGTTCCCTAGCTCTCATCTCTGTTGGCTTCTTTCTATTCTCCTCTGCAAAAACAACTGTGAGCTGCCGACCTTGCAGAACCTGACCATCCATCTGATATTTAGCTTCCACAGCATCAGCAGGGTCGACAAACTGGACAAATCCAAAACCTCGTGGTTCACTAAAAAGAAAGGGAATGGAAGGGGGAGATAGTCAGCATAGTAGTTAGCACAAAAGTAATCCACCAGATAGATAGTTTGGTTTGAGGGAATTCAGAATGGTGGTCTGATCTCGTGCAAAAATAAGTACCCTACAAAAAAAAATTAATAAAACTTATGGCAGCTAAATCTTCACACTGGATACGGTCTCCTAGTCCTAGAGAAATATTTGCAGCCAAATTTAGAGTTTGGTTCATCAGTTAAGAAGAGCCAGAGCAGTCAGTCTAAGCCACCTTAATGCATCTAAAATTTGCAAACAGCTGCTATTCAAATTAGTAAGCACGTAATAATTCCAGAACACGGAAGACCCTAATAAGCATATAAGCAAACACATTGCTGCTGACCTTGCAAATGATATTTTAAAGATGACTTCAAATTCTTCAAAACTTGAAATCTTGATATCTTCACATTGTATTCAAATCAAATTCCCTTCCATTCTTCACTATCGTTAACTTCACCTTGAACTCTTACTACTTGACCGAGGTCAACAGAACTCTTACAACTTGATTGTATCAACAGATCTCTTATTACTTGATTGAGTCTTCATAACTCTTACTTCACTGCTATATCTAAAAGATCTTAATGAAGAACTCCAATTGAGATCATATTTAAATGTCAAAAGAAAGCAAAAAAGGTGATCCTTCAACTAATAAAAACTCAATAATATAATTACACGTAGAGAGAAAAAAAATCTGAATAAAAAAATCATAATCCCCGGGGGGGGGGGGGGGGGGGGGGGG